ACTATATAGAAAATATATATATACATTAAATGCAAGGAAAGAAAATATCATTTACAATTGACAATTTTAAGTTTAAGTATGTCAGGCAAAAAGAATCTACATGAAGGTAACATCCTGTATTTTAGTCTTAAAGTCTGCAAAAAAACTGGTACGAAAAAAGTCCGGCAGTGCATTCCACTGCTTAGCTGAAAAGTAAGAAAAGGAGTTAAGACCATAGGTAGTTGTTTTAGGTTTACTTAGTGAAAGAATGTAGTTGCCACGAAGATCATAGGAAGAGGACCGGAGTGAAAACATATTCTTCATATAAGTAGGAAAATGAGTGAAAAACAAACTCTTATATAACAGAATGAGGAAATTTTGAATGCGTTTGTTAAACAAAGAAGTAGAGCTGACTTCTGAGAGAAGAGTGTTGTATGGAGACGAGTAATCTCCAAGTATAAATCTAAGTATTCTTTTATTTAAAGCTTCGAGCTTATCCGCATCGCGCGCTCCACAAAAGTGCCAGACAGAGGAGCAATAATAAAAGTGAGGTAAAATATATGCTTTGTAAAGTTTGAATAAGATTTCCTTGCATATGAGTTTTCTAAAGCGCAACATAACATTAAACTGATTATTAATCTTTTTGCATACATTTGATATATGTTTAGAAAAATTCAGATTATTATCTATTTCCATTCCAAAAATCTCTAACGTGTCCTTTACTGGGAAGGAAAAACCATACTCCGTATCACCGAGGATTAGACACTGGTGCTTGCTCTCATTAACTAACATCCCATTTTCATGGTACCACTGATTGGCCACGCCAACATCATGAGATACGCATGCATCCAGAGCTGCCGGATCGACGTGGGAGTAGTATACCTGATGATCATCCGCATAAGCGTTCAACTTGGCCTTCTTGACGTGGAAGAAAAGATCGTTTATGAAAATGTTGAATAGCATGGGACCTAACACACTCCCCTGCGGGACCCCACGCTTGACGCTTTCCCAGGTCGAAAAGGTGTCTCCAACTTTAACTCTCTGAGTTCTGCTAGAGAGATAGTTCCTAATTAGGGCACAACTTTTGTCGTCCATACCATAGGCCCTCAGTTTCGAAAGGAGGAGTGGATACTGAATAACATCAAACGCTTTGGAGAGATCCATAGAAACTACCGCAACAAGCTCCCCCCTGTCACGCATCATTCTCCAGTCCTCGGTCAACCTTAGCAAAGAGGTCTCGCAACTATAAAACTTTCTATAAGCGCTTATGAAGTCTGATAAGACCCCATTGTAAAATTCATACATCTGCCCCGATAGAAGCCTTTCAAAAATATTGTTTAGAGCAGGGAGCACAGTTACGGGCCTATAGTTGATCTTACAAAACTCGTCGTCTTTTTTGTACAGAGGAGTAACGATGCCCATCTTCCAGCTAGCAGGATAACAGCAATGTTCAATGCAACAGTTTATTATACTTGTTATAGGCCGCGCAATAACAGCTGCCGCTTCTTTAATCAACTTTGGTGGGATCATATCGTGACCAGGTGACTTACGTACATTGATCTCTTTTAGTAATAGCTCAACCTGGGTTTCACTTGCGCGATGAAAACTGAAGCAAGCTGGAGCACTAAAGCCCCTGTGTTCATGGATTGCTTTGATGCTGGGATGATTTGCATAATCCTCACCGTAATCCTCTGCTCGTATTTCAGGCATGCTGTCAGCAATGTGAACAAAGTAGTCATTAAGCAGATTGGCAATCTCTTTTTTGTCACTAATAATCCTGTCATTTTCTTTCAAGATAATGTCATTGGCTTGCTTACTTTTAGTATGCAAAAAGGGGCGGAAAGTAGACCAGAATTCGCGCGGGTGTTCGGTGTCTACTGTTTTCCTCGCGAAGTGTTGTTTTATTGCTTTTCGCCTAAGAGAGGTGCAGGTATTACGTTGAGTTTTGTATGCCTCGTAATTTGCATCAGTACGATTGCGCGTGAATTTTTTCCACAGTTTGTTGCGATGCCTGATCGCCCTCCTCCATTGTTCCGTCATATAAGGCACCTGATTACCACGTATCATTGTTTGCTTGATAGGTGCGTGTTCATTGAGAACACTTAGAAACAATTGCTCAATAGCATAAAGCTTATCATCAAGTTCATCAAACAAATCAATTATGTGGAAAGGCACAATTTGCATATCATGCACAAAGTTCTCTCGACTGAAGTTTTTCAGACTACGAAAACAAATCTTGCGAGATCGAGTCCTTGGTGCTGATGATCGCAGGATAGTATAAACTAACGAATGATCACTAAGTTGCGTGTCTACCACGCCTGATGTTAAGACCTTTTTCTTGTCATTCGTCAGGATTAGGTCCAGCAGTGTTTCAGTTGTTTTTGTTGTGCGAGTTGGTTCCGTAATCAAACAATCAAGATTAAAAATATCTAGCAGATCTAGTAGAGCCCGACCGTCTCTGTGTTGTTTATCAGGAGCAAGAAGGTCCGCGTTTAAGTCTCCTGCTAGGAAAACCGTGTTTGTGAGCGAGGAAACTGCTTCGAAGAGAACAGAGAGTTCACGCGTCCACTGAGATCTCACAATCGACGGAGGTCGGTAAATGCCCACAACAGTAATCCAAGTCCTCGGCAGTTTGACTTTCAAAACAATCGACTCCGTCTTAAAGGTTGACCATGTATCGGAAGAGAGCCCTTTGAGCTCTTTAACTCTAATAAAGCAGATATCACTCCTTACGAACACCATCAATCCACCTCCTCCAGCCTTTCTGTCACGACGACTCAAACGAAAACCTTCAACGTGAAACATAGAGTTAGGGAAAGTAGCATCTATTTTAGTTTCGGATATTATCAAAACATCCAGCCTACCAGATTGTAGCCAAGTCTTAATCTCATTGAATTTGAAACCGCCAATACTGTTCGCGTTGATGTGTCCTAGTTTGAGATTTGATCGATGATTATTAGCCTTCTGATCAAAGTCGGCCCATATTTCATTTTCAGCCTCCGTTCCACCTTCGACTTGGACTTGATCAATATCTCCTTCGGTGTCTGAATCATCGAAAAAGCTGTCGCTTAGTGGGGGTAGAGAACATTTACTACAGTACCAAGCCTGTACATCACGAGTACGTAATTCCTTAAAGCTCGCACCAGAACACTTCACATGAAACGTCTTTCCACACAAACCCGCACAACGGACGCCATCTTGGTTTCTTCGAAGGGTCTTTGAACAACCACCGCAAATAGATTTCGAGTGATTAGAAGCGTCCCCTTTCTCTGGTCCTGGGTTACTACTGATGTCCCCTGAAAGCTTGAGAAGTTCAAATTGAGTTGTAGCGGTAGAATTATTACAATAGAGAACTCTCCGTCCGAAGAAGGCTTTTGCTCTTGGTCTTCCATATGAAGGTAATCTCACTTTCGATGGATACGAACAGAATGCATACCATTTCAGCTCAGAAATAATAGAGACAGACTCTCCGTCATTTGTAATAGACAAAGAATGGCTCGGGAAGCCTAAACTGCCGAGAAAAGTGAGTACGTAGCAGAGCACCAAGGACGCACGTCCGTCCATGGTTCTTAACAAAGAACTGACTGTTTTATTAAAAATGGATAACAGATAATAGCGTAATTAAAATACTTTCTTTGAAAAGAGAAGCGTATTATTTCAGTCGAAAGTCCCAATGTCTGTGATGAATGTTTTTACACTGAGTGCAGTTTTTCTTTTATAAAGCAAAATAAAACACAGATTGTCCGTAAAGAAAACATTTCAAAGTAATGTACGATTCCAAGACTTATTTTATAAAGATGTATTCAATAGCTGAAAAACGCACCAAAAATAACGTAGCATCCAATCTTAAAAGCAGTGAAGAAAAAAATGTTTCAATATTTAACGCACATAGGGGGTAATCTCCTTTTTTGTCTAATCTAACAGTTATTGTTTCAGCGCGATCTCTGTGCGTTTTGAAGATGAGCCCGTGTCAAGCTGACGCGTACGTATAATGTAATTTGACGGAGAATTTTTATGACAGAAAGAGCCTTCAAGTTCTAACGGAGCTCGTTCTCTAGGATGAAAGGAACAAATGATGACTGAAAGGAAGTTTATCATGTGAGGTCCTATTAAAGGCATGCACATAGAGGCGCAGTAGCTTCTATGATTTGACAAAATTCCCCGCTGGTCCGCGAACAAAAAATTTCCAGAAAAGTTTGAGAATGAGTAATCCGAATTTAAGAATAGAGAGCAAAAAAAGCACGGAAATACTGGACAGTTGGCTCAGAAACGAAATAAATAAACACTTAAAATACTTTCCGTATTTTAACGCGTTGTTAGCCGTATCAAACTTATTTCTTATTCAAACAAAAAAAATTAAACAGCTGCTCTCATTGGTCAATCCAGAAATGACTTAGCCAATGGAAAGTTTCGTCGTGTTTTCGTATTTTATACGTCACGAACCCTTCAACTCGTTTTAGCATGCAACGTAAAATAATAAAGCAAAAGGAAAAAATCTTACAATTGGTCAATTAAGAATCCATGCAACCAATAAGAACTCTTTTAGCATGTTGTATTTAACAATCTCTCCAACTTGTCCAAAACACGTTTGAATTCCAAATAAGGCCAGTAGAGAACATAAAAACCTCAGCATTGTGCGGGGATTTATCATTCCTCCTTGGATGTCTACAGACATACAAGCAAGCTTAAAGTAGGTTTTCAATGATTTTTAGATTTAACTTGGTAACTATATACTCATAACAACTTTCAATTTTTTGGTGCTATTCTAGCTTAGGGTTTTAAAAGTTTCATCTCCGTCATTTGATCTTAATTACAAAAATTACAAAAACCGTCGTTTGATGTCAAAGTTATATTTATCGAAGTACGTCGTTGTATTCTCTCCACGAAGGTACTGAACTGTCACCAATTAACCTAGCATTCCCATACGAGGTTATCGCCTTGACTGATTTGTTATCGACTTTTGTGCTGAGTAGCAAAGTTGCAACCAATTTTTTTTTATTGTATTCACAGGTTCCACAATCATGCAATCCTATATGAAGATACCGCTGGCCACTAAGTTATGTGTTTTGCAGTTACTACTGATCACCTTCTGTTTTGCAAATGACAAAAACAGCAGTAAACCAAGTGACAGGGTGAGTTCTTTTAATCAAACATTGAGTAATCGGAAAATTCTTTAATACTAGCAAGGATATATGCATGTATGAAGTTCCTAGCCTGAAAGAATGGAATGAAGTAAGATGGAAGGGAATATTGACAACTTGGGGGGTGTTTAATGAAAATTGTTGTAAGACGAATGAAAAGTGGTACAGTTTAACAAGCTATTTACGTAAAAGAATGGAAAGAATAAAAGAATGTTTTATGAATGGCCGGTTTGATTTGGTGACTCCATCAATGTCTAGGTGTTAAGTAAAAACAACAAAAAAAACGGACGTGTAGTTTTTTTACACCTACAGTTCCGGAAATGTCTTAAAGATTTAATTAAGTTAAAAGATATTTAGAGCCAACAAGAGAGAATGAAGCCAAAGAAATTGCTCCCACAGGACAATAATGCCTCTTGCTTTTTAACATTCCTTTAGAGCACTCCTCAAAAGACCTTATTATATGGATCCTGTGGTCATGGTGGGTGTTTCTGTGCACCGGGAATTCCAGGCATCCCCGGAAGTCCTGGTTCCGCGGGACCAGCAGGTGTTGCGGGATCACCCGGTAATCATGGACCTGAAGGACCCATAGGCCCACGAGGAAACAAAGGCGATGAAGGAACCCGTGGAAGACAGGGACCACCAGGTCCCAGTGGTAACAAAGGTGAAGATGGTCCCCCTGGCCCCAAAGGACCTCAAGGACCCTCAGGTTCAGCTGGTTCCCCTGGAAACAAGGGTGATACAGGTGCTCGTGGAAGTCAAGGTCCCCCAGGTCCCAAGGGTGCTCCAGGATCGTTTGGTCGTAATTGGAAACAGTGCGTTTTTAAGAAACTGAGCGATTCAAGGGACTCTGGATTGATAAAGGTAAAGACTCAGTTTACAGTTAAAGACAATTGTGAGGTTAGCCTAAAGTAAATTAGAGATTAACTAACTTCAGATTTGAAAATTCGAGTTATGTCAACTTTATCACGAAGAATGATTTTTATTAACTACAACAGGCCTGGAACTAACCCATGGCTCCCTTCAAATAATATCTCTTTATTCATTATTTAACATTAATTTTTTAAGTCCGATTGTTGCTGTTGCTGATCTTCAAATGATCTATGATGTTCCTATTTATATTTTCACAGGAATGTATTTTCAATAAGCTGTCAGACAACACAGCGTTGCGTGTCTTCTGGACTGGCGCTCTTCGAATCTATAACTGTGACAACTGCTGCAGTCGATGGTATTTCACCTTCAACGGTGCAGAGTGTTCATCTCCAGCAGCAATTGATGGTGGAGTCTACATGAGGTATGGAAGTGGCAGCAGAGTAAAGAATTTGCACCGCGTTCGTCATATTGAAGGAGTCTGTGAGAAAATCCACAAAGGCACAGTGCGTGTTGGATTCTGGGTCGGCAAATGTTCTAGTGGTAATTCTGCTGATGCTAGCACAGGCTGGCCCGGAGGGTCCAGGATCTACGTGGAGGAAATACCTCCACCACAAGCTTAAGCAGATTCAGATTTCTTTCTAAGTAAGGATGATTAACAAGCTTACTTTTGACAAAATTTTTAGAGGTCCAAGGAATAAAAATAGTGGTTGATATTTTTGAAATTAGAAACAAACGTAGGTGAGGTTTAAGAATAGCTTTTAAGAATAGGTGGAGCGTAAAGATCGTTTGCATACGAAAGAAATGTAAACCAAGCAAGGAATCTGCAAATTGAAATAAAAAAACCCTTCAAAAATAAGTTATTTATAAGTAAATTTTTAAAAGTTAAACATCATTTGTTTGGCGCCATTCTAAAAACGAACCAAAAGTGAAAGTGTAAAACGTATATTCGAGAACCAACCTCCTGGTCGAGTGTGCTTTGTTAGCGTTAACGTTAAACTTCATCTGTAGGAAAATGCTTTATGGCTTTGCCGATGTAATTTTCTTCTTTAAGTCTCAATCCAGAATCTCAGTCATAAAAGTGTAACAGAAACCGCCAGAGCGCCGGCGGGTTGCTGGTCCAGCAACCTTCATCCGTCTATAAACTCCGATTCTAACAGTCACTAAAAAAATCAAATTTCCTTTTTTTAAAGTGAAATCATTAAACTGGCTTTTTCGTGCCATGGAGTGTGTAGTTTGTAACAGTCATGAGCGTTGCCCTTAAATTTCAAGCTCGAACACTGTCATCGCGTATAGAGCGTATTCTACAAAGTGGGCACCCTTCCCTCTTTAAACTGACCAACATGCAAAAGTCAAAGTCTTTAAATCACTTTACTTGGCTTTTCTGGCATACAATCGACTATCTGCTTAAATGACATCTAAATTCAGAAAAGGCAGGTTTCCAGAAATTGACCACCAAGCAGAGGAGATAAGGTGGGGTGGGGGAGGGGGGGGGAAGAGATCACACTAGCTACCTTAATCCCGGTCATAATTATTGAAGCGCTGCTGTATTTTTTCATTTTCACCACAGTGCTTTTCCCTGGGAGGGGCAGGTCTCAGTAAGCAAAAAATCGTGGGCACGAGTTAATCTCGAACCCAGATCTCACTCTACAGGAGATTAAATACAAGGTTGTATTTCCTGTGAAATCAAATTCAGTCTAACAAGAAATACGTGTATTTGTGGAACAACTTAGTTGAATATCATGGGTGACAAATTACTCCTTAATTTTGGCTTGAAAATAAATTAAAAATTGCTATGGCAACATACTTTCCGTATTTCTCAGAGCCAATATGTGGTTAAGCGAGTGGAGATAACAGGGCATTAAAAGACACTTTAGAAAACTTAAATACTCGAAAGAGCACATCAAAAAGGATTTCAACAGGTATTTTGTCAAAAAATTCCAAAAAATCTCGAACTTAAGTCAAAAGTTATGCCATAAACGTTCCAGTGCCGTGGAGTTCTCGATAGGATAGCCAAGTAAAAAGCCACCATTTTGAGCGTAATTTATCACACATAATATCAATGGGCAATCCGAATGGTATAGGGAATAATTAGAATGTTCACAGTCCCTCATTTTAATGTGAAATAGTCAAGATAAAGCCCTTTCGTTGCGGAAGGCCATCTTGGATGAGTGTCAAATCTAATTAGGAGGCGAGGGACGGTTATTCTCAGTTCATTTTCCCCTCCACCCGTCAACCCCTGCGCCCGCCCCCTCGGTACATATAAACCCTGATGGCCGTCCGTACTGGAAAGCGCTCGATCATGGCAGGTCAGACGGAAGTTACCAAAAAAATAGGGGAGTGTAAACAGTCTAGGGAATAATTTCACTCGTCACCATTTCATTACACAGTCATAATAATCCTGATTTTAAGTTAAGGAAAAAGAGGTAAAAATTTTCTAGTATTATTTTATTTCAGAGGTCGCATTTCCATATTTCCCCATTCCTTAAGTTCAGCGTCGAGTGGTATTATCCAATGAACTAGAAAGAACGCGTGCCGGTAGGGACGAAATTGAAACAAAGTTCTAAGGAGCGAGTCTTGGAAACAAGATTTTCTGTGGTGAAATTTGAGATGTCAAATTTTGGTTCCTTACTTGAACGTTTCTTAAATACACTTTAAGCAGGCTTAATCGTCTGAAGTAGCGCTTAAATATCATGGCCACAGAACCGCCAACCAGTGCCGCTAGCGGAGAGAAGAAAGGGGCCATAAAAGTGAGGGGATGAACTGTTTTAACTCATGTATTCAAATTTCAAACCAAAATTAACAAAACAAATACAAGTAGCCCTTGTGTGACGTGTCAAAGAGTGACCACGCTTTACGTTGATCAAGATATCAGACGACTTTATGAACGCAGAATAATAAAGGCTAACAAAATGCCTCAAGTAGTAGAAAAAAAACCGTAGTGATGAGATAATTTCGCTTAGTAAAATAAGCAAAAGTTTTGTTTTCCTTTTTTGTTAATTACCGTAATTCCTCGAATAATCGCCTCCCTCGATTAATCGCCTCCCTCGAATAATCGTGCTTTTAGAATGAAATATCTAAACTTATCGCCACCCTCGAATAATCCCCCTACCCTCTATCCTTCTTCTCTTTAATTTATCCCCTCCCTGTCAAGTTGAAGTGGAGTCTGATCAAGCAAAACTGATCCCTGACGATTTACGCTTTGTCGCTGAGGATATTGACCGATTGAAAATTAATCGAGGAACCAAATTTGAAACACTTGAAAAGCCCATGCATGTTCAGTTTATTTGATGTGATCATTTTTTGATTAATGGATAATAAAACACAATATCGCCTTCCCTCAAATAATCGCCCCCCTGCGAAATAATAATATAATAATCATCGCCCCCGGCTATTATTTGAGGAAGTACAATACAATTCCCATTGGTCGGGCCATGGAATATTTAAACTGTTTTAGCGAATAAAAATTCACGTTAAAATGAAGCTGATCACCAATAATTCACAAACTTGAACTGACGAGAACCTCATTATATGCACAGAAAACAGAGATCGCTTTAGTTAAGGTTTGAGCAACAAACTCGGACGACTGAATGGATATTTTGAAGGTAACAGCTCATATTATTGTTGTTGGTATGTGGATTATATTGTTTACTTTACTTGCTACGTTTCGTTTAACAGCCTTTGACTGTTATGGGTTCTATTTCCTTGAAAGCGGTTATACATCCAATTACCCAAAGGTAAATTAGTTTATTTATTTTGAAGTGGAAACTTATTTTAATGATCATCAGAAACACTGCCAGTATAAATTACATAATTTAAAAAATGTTCACAACTGCCGAAATCGGGTAAATTCATAAAAATTCGTCCTCAGATATAAATCGGGGAGAAATCATGGTGGCAAAAATTGCGTCTTGATTTTTTCACTTCTAAAGTCAACTAAGGGGACGTGTGGTTTGAACTGTAATGGGTGATATGTGATCATTGAAATGACAACGCAACTGCAGCAGTTTTGCATGATCGCTCTTCTTATTACTCTTTGTAAAATGATTCAATGTTCTAAAACAGTGGAAAAATTCTCGTTAAGTGGCCACTAAAATGACCACTCTTCCATCAGTACTCTCGCGTGCATTTTTTCATTTGCTTTTTAGATTATATAACGTACATTAAATTAGTATTTATCCTCTCTTGGCGCGGGTTTACGCAAATTAATGTATCAATCAGTATAGGGTTGTATAATCGCGAATTGCACGGTTTAGAGCCTCAGTTATAACGGGAGGGAATTTAAAACAGGTTTTTGAAGCTCAAACCGTGAGAAAACAAGTCTGTGTTAAAAAACTGCCCCAAAAAAGTTATTAACACGAACGCTGAAAAACGCAGTCGAAGCAAGGAGAAACGATTTCGATGCTGCAGTCATTTTGCGCGCAACAATCTGTGTTTCACTCATGTTTTAACTGAAGATTTACCACTTGGAGGCTAGCCTCGTAAATGTGATGTATCGTTCACAAGTTAAGAGGTTTTTCATTTGTCTTGGCCTTGAAAGCACGAGAAAGACAAAAGAACGTGACGCTGTAAAAGAGAATCTGTGATCGTTTTCATAAATATTATCTATTTTTGATAGCAATATTATACTGGGAAATTTATACTTCAGTACAACGGACCTGATAAGCGACCTGCACGGTCAAACGCTCAAAAAAATATCGATAACAGTTCTTGGCATTTTTTTCTGAGTCTAATATAATCACTTCAACTTAAAATTTACCTATTCGATTTTGTGAGATTTTCTTCAAGATTTTTGTTTAAACTGAGACAAGCAAGAACCGCTCAAGACGAAATCGCCAAAAGTTAGATTTTGGAACTGATACGTGAGTATACAAAGACTACATTCCACCAGGGAGAGACCTGTCTTGGTGTGTTAACACTATAACTAATAAGGCTTGCAAGTTTTACTATAGTCATACTGCAGGAGGCAGTTCAAAACAGATTTTTAGTTTCAACCCTAAGACAACAAATCTCTGATATTAAACAGCTTTGCAACGAGTTTATAGGGAACGAAAACAGCTTTATGTCACTGCGGAAAACGATTTCGATGCTGTACTCAGTGCACTATTCTGCTATCATTAACAACTAGAAGTTAATCAATCTCTTATGTTTTATTTGAAGATTTACCAGTGGGTGGCTAAACTCGCAAGTACACAGCGCAAATGTTACCCGTCTCCTCCTCTAATTCGTTTATAAAAAAATGCGTGGTTCTATCATTGTAAAATTTGGAAAACGCGCTATAAAAGTAGCAAAATAATGGGCGTTTCCAAATATTAACCAACTTGTACATCAAGCGCAAAACAAGGTCTGTATTAGAATCAAGAGAATGTTCTACTTTTAATAGCAACTGTATTAAATAGGAGGTTACAATCTGATTTATGATTCAAGACATCGATATGTCTTGGATTTGTTTTGTACATTGTAACTCCAGTAACTTCAACTCGACTGTACCGAGAACATCTGTGAGAAGACGACCCAATAATCAGAAACTAAACAATGAAGGTTAAATTATTTTTCTGATATGTATAGCAATTTACTTGATTGGACGTTTATTTCTCATACACAGCTTCTCATGTTTTTCCAGCATTTCGCTATCACTCGAGACTGATAACTCAAGCACGCAGTATTAGTTGAGGGTTAAACGATTAAACTGTAAGTACACAGCGAATTCACTTGTACGTTCATTGCGTTAGACAATAGTTATGTGCTGTTAGACAGATATCAACAGATTTGTCTCAGAATTACGAAAAACTCATTTCGTTCACATGGTATCTGGCACACGTTTTGACCATAATTGTGAAATTCGAAGATCAGAGAAGAAACCACTAAAACGAAGTCGATCTCCGTTACATGATTAGAACTGACAGCAATCGTATAAGAAATACATTCCATGGGGAAGATTTTGAAAAACTTGTAAAATAATATAGTAGCTCATAATAAACAATCGGAGACATTATTATTATTATTATCATAATTTCAGTGACATATAAAATCTCAGCTTAGTTCGGTCTAGTTGATACTCTTTGTGAAATTGCAAACCTTTCTTTTCAGTTAAAAAAAGACAGTGATCAAATTAAGTCAGGTCCAAAAGCACAGCAAAAATAAAAGACGCCATATCACCCCGCGACGAATTACTGACTAATCACTTAGCAACCAAGTCACTTTGCTCCTTGGAAAACACGTAGAATGTTCTCTTAACTTGTTACTTCGAGAACTTAATCAAACAAATCAAAGAGTGATACGAATCATTTTTGCACAAAACAGTTGTCAACCAAAAGGACAAAACAAGTTTCAATTAAGTATTTAAGGTTAAAACAATTTAGGTTTGAATATTCCTACTTAATTTAGTGACTTCTTTACACGCTTCATTATTTTATCTCGTTATTCCTTTTCTTCTTCTCTGCTTTCCTGGACACAGAAAACGTAGGTACTTGAAATAGGAATTATCCTAAAGATTAGCGGTCTCTCATTTAATGTTCAGAACAACTACCTTCTCAATTAAACTGAGGAACAAAGTTCAGTGTAGAGTTTGCAAATTAATGAGCATAATCAGTTACGAAAACTTTGTTTTCCTAAAAAGAAGTAAATAATCGTTCTAAGACCACAAGTCTGATTGAGAATTTTAGTGCCTCCTTTTAAAATTCAGTTTCAAGTAAGCGACTGAGTTATTCTCGAATTTATAATCGGTGGTGTGCGGCCATTTTCCATTAAGAATTGATGAAAAATTGGAATCGGAGTGCCTTAATTGAAAGAGAAAGGAATAAAATACAGCAGGCGAACTACGAATCGGCTGAAAACCAGTTACGAATGTAATTTTCTGGATCGACTCTGTTATCATTTTCTATTAATATCCACCGAAGATTCGCCGGGGTCTTCTTGGTTATTCTTAGCTATTTTGTCGCCCAAGAAGTGTAAAAGGTGTTGACTTACGCTGGAATTTCAGTCCTATCCGTAAACGTCGGTTTCATCGTCGAGCAACTGAAAATTAATTCACTTGATAATCAAAGTTCAAAGTACGCCATACAGGACACTTGAACACAATTTTCAGTGTAGATACAAAGAAAGGTTAAGAACATAAGAGTAACAAAGGTTATGAATTAAAAGAGGTATAGTTCGTGTTTCATGTTGTGTGTTTGTGCGCGGTGTCGAAAGTAATAACGCTTCTAGTCAGTGAACACCGCTTTTTTCAAGTAAATGCAGGCAGCAGAAACTCAGATTAAATCAGCAATAAAATCAAGCAAATTGGCTACAGTAAAATCAAGTTTGATTGATCAAGAGGTGATATTTCCATTCTTTCTTAAAACTTATTATAGGGGACACATTTGAGTCAAGGGGCACCGGCAGTTTCCCAAATTTTCGGAACAACAAAATTTAAGAGAAGTCCAGCTTCCCTAATTTAGTGATTACACGCGATCTAACAAATTTAGTTTCCACACAAATTTTGTGTTATTATTGTGTATATTAGATACTGGAGTCTGAACACTAAGGAAGACATACATCTGGATGCTATCGCTTTCATTGTCAATCTTATGTGTTAGTCAGCTTGCGCATACTCGAAATTTATTTATTTTATTGTCTAATTCAATCGGGACCGGCACTAATTACTTAGCATGTGCAAAGAAGATGCATGGCTATGTACTAAGATGTCTAGCACTGCCGACACAGCCCCAGGCAATGATTTCATAACTTAACCATCCGAACATATCAAACTGCACAACATATTTGTTTCAGCATATTAACATCCAAGTAGAAGAGAACAACAAAAAGCATATCGCTAAGTAGTTGTCAAAAATGACCAGTGATGAAACTTCTGTTTCTGAACAGAATTGGCCAAATACCTTTCAAATTTCGCATAACGGGCTGTTAGAGTCAATATAAAAATTTTCTCGCCCAATAAGAATTTTGGATTTTTTCGTGTTCTATACGTCACGGACCCGTTCAACTTGTCCCGTCTTGTAACTTATGGAAAGTAAACACAATGAATGAACTCCTTTTAATTGGTCAATTAAGAACAGATTAAACCAATGGGAAATCTCGCATGAAACTTGTCTTAAGACACGTTTTTTCGTTATGTTAACTAGGTTAGAAGAGGACATAAAAGTTTCTGGTTTTTCAAGGATTTGTCATTCCTCATCAGGTGACTAGCTACAGCCTCACTCCTACAAACCAGGTTGGTATCTACTAGTATGTTATCATAGCAAACTTATCACTGGCTCATTTTTACTTTCTACTTATACTGTCCATTTCTGGGAGTTCTTACACTTTCAACTCTCTTTAACTTTTTGAGGAAAGTGGAAGAGTTATTTTTTAACCCTATATCTTATCCTAAATGCGTACTAAAAATTCGTTTACTTTAGCGTCTCCATGCACACTCAATATATCAATTTTTTGTATTCGATTTGATAAAAAGGGAATAGTCTTTTTTAACGTGGTATAGTTCACTGGTATAGTTCATGACGTAGGCGTGATAAAGTTAGTGAGTTGAGTGCTGGTGATGGGATGAGCTTTGAGTCTGTTCATGTTTTCGCAGAGTTTACAATCATGCAATCCTGTGCGAAGATACCGCTGGCTAATACGTTAGGGCTACTGCTTTTACTATTAATGACCTTTTGTTCTGCAAATGACAACAACAGCAGCAAACCACGTGATAAGGTGAGGTTGTTTAATAAAAGATCGAGTAATCGGGAGATTCTTTAATGTCATTTGCTGTATGATAATTGAAAAGTGATACCACTGAACAGGCTCTATAGGTAAAAAGGTCAAAGGAAATGGCTGACTCGAAGATTGTCAAGATGTTTCTCTAAAATGCCACTGTCTGCACTTTTTTTTCAACTCAAACATTGGAAATTGTTTTTTCAGAATCTTAAACGATATTTAAAGCTAAACAAATTTGGCCTACAGGACAACAATGCATGTTTCCATTTAATATTCTTTTAGAGTACACGTCAGCAGACATCATCTTATGGTTCCTGTGGTCATGGGGGGTGTTTCTGTGCACCAGGAATTCCAGGCATCCCAGGAAGCCCTGGACCCGCGGGACCAGCAGGTGTTGCGGGATCACCCGGTAATCACGGACCTGAAGGACCCATGGGCCCACGAGGAAACAAAGGTGATGAAGGAGCCCGTGGAAGACACGGACCTCCAGGCCCCAGCGGTAACAAAGGTGAAGCAGGTACCCCTGGCCCCAAGGGACCTCAAGGACCCTCAGGTTCAGCTGGTTCCCCTGGAAACAAGGGTGATACTGGTGCTCGTGGAAAGCAAGGTCCCACTGGCCCCAAAGGACCTCAAGGACCCTCAGGTTCAGCTGGTTCCCCTGGAAACAAGGGTGATACAGGTGCTCGTGGAAGTCAAGGTCCCCCAGGTCCCAAGGGTGCTCCAGGATCGTTTGGCCGTAATTGGAAACACTGCGTTTTTAAGAAACTGAACGATGGCAGGGACGCTGGATTGATCAAGGTAAAGACTCAGTTTACAGCTAAAAATATGAGAGGTTAGCCTAAAGTAAATAAGAGATTAACCAACTTCAGATTTGAAAATTCTAGTTTTGTCAACTTTGTCAGGAAGAACGATTTTCATTAACTAACCCAGGCCTGCCTTCAGATAATATCTCTTTATTATTTAACATTTTAGTCCGACTGTTTCAATTTTAGTTGTTGAAGTTGCTGATCTTCAAATGATCTTTGATCTTCCTATTTATATTTTCATAGGAATGTATTTTCAAGAAGCTGTCAGACAACACAGCACTGCGTGTCTTCTGGACTGGCGCTCTTCGAATCTATAACTGTGACAGCTGCTGCGCTCGATGGTATTTCACCTTTAACGGTGCAGAGTGTTCAGCCCCAGCAGCCATTGATGGTGGAGTGTACATGCACTATGGAAGTGGCAGCAGACGAAAGGATTTGCACCGCGTACGTCACATAGAAGGTGTCTGTGAGAAAATCCACAAGGGCACAGTGCGTGTGGGATTCTGGGTCGGCAAATGTACCGGTCAGAAATCTGCTGATGCTTACACAGGCTGGCCCGGAGTGTCCCGGATCTACGTGGAGGAAATACCTCCCCCACAGGCTTAATAACAGCAGATTCAGATTTCCTTCTATTTTTAAGAATGATTAACGAGCGATTAATGGACAATTTTTGTATTGTAAAGAGGTTGAAACTGTCAAAGGGTATAAAAGATCGTTTTAAGTAAGGAATCTACAAATGCAAAATAAAGCCACTTTAAGATATAAAATAGACGTTTCCATATGCATACAAAGAATTAAAAGGGACACTGTCACGAGAATTCTTGTCATAATTCTAACGTTATCTGTACGTGACAATTAGACCATTAAGTCACTATAAACCGGAGCTTAGTTGGCAGAGTGCTAGTTTTCAAAACGGGAGAACTGGGGTTCGATTCTCACGGTCTAAAAGACACTAAAAAAGGTTTTGCTTGTGCCTTGTGAACGGCTGCTAGAGCTTCGCGTTGCTCAGATAACCGCGTCGACATGGCGGTCTCTTCTCTAGAGGGACACGTAGATACAGTGCCCTCTTGTCAACTAGTACCTCAGTGTTTGCCACAGATTATCAAAGTAATAAAGTAGGTTTTTGTGTTTTTTCACTTTAGCTTTTTTGGGTGTTACGTAACCTTTATTGCGACTCATTGCACTCTACTGGCCACTTGTTCGATGCTTAGATAAAAAAATAAAAGGAGGAGAGGAAGCGCTTTGACAAGGAAAGCGCAAATTTGTAGGAACATGACTTTTTCATAATAGTGCTCCAGTTCCTTATTGCGCCCAACAGGAGTTAACTGGAGTGCCGGAATCCGCGACGTTTTGCGACACACGAATCTCAAGTATTAGTAACATTTGCGTTTTCGTACTAATCTGACGTCTGTTTCCTCTTTACATATCAGTTCAAATCAACTAGTTTTCAGCACTCTAAAGAAGCTCTGTACACCATTTTTTGCTCTACTATTAATTACGTACATATAAGTAAACTTTCCTTTTTTCTACGTGAGATCTTCAAACCGCCTTTTCCGCGTCATTAGAGTGTCACGAGGTGAATTCTGGTGATGTTCTTGAGCCAGCGCACTATCAACGTTATCATTACTTTCCAGTTCTGTGCAGTTTGCAAAGTAGTCCCGCACTCCACCCTCCTAAAACGAGACAAAAGAAAAGCAATATGATAATAACGAATGATCAGCAAGGGTTTATTTCCACTGTCGCGTAATTTTTACGTGCGTGCGTAAAATTTACGTTCACAAATAAAATAGAGGCAATGTATTAAAGGTCGCACGTAAGCGTAAAAGTAGCACCTCGCTCAACTTCACGTTTAATCTCAACACTTTATATCTTGCCTCTATTTTATTTACGTGCGTTAACGTGCGTAGCCAAAAACGCGTCACTGGAAATAAACCCTAAGGAAAATTTTTTTAAGCAAGAAAACGCATACTGGTCATTTTATTTACGTTACCTTCATCTTGTTCGGTTTTGTTACTGTTTCATGACTGTAACCAATAAGTAATTGTGTTCAGTTTTTTTTAAATTCCGGCTTGTAATTTACCATTTACACATCTCCCGTAATACACCCTTTTTATTGTATACTGCATAAACATTGACTTCAAATTTTCTTGGGACTACGATAATTAATACCCAACAGAAATAAAAATACAATGCATTTTTGGGCAGCAGGCGAACAAGGTGTTTATAGGAGATGTGCAAATGGAAAATACTTTATTTTTCCGTTCGCGATTATGCCGCAGGCTGCAGCTGTTTCTTAATAAGCTATAACTAACACAAAATCAGTTCGCAAGTAACCGAATCGAGTGATTCACACAGACCGAAGTATTAAGGATTTTTTTTAAGAGCTGCTTCTTTACTTGGAGGTAAACTGACAGTACTAACGACTATACACTCAAACCTCTCTAATACAGACACCGAAGGGACAGAGCGAAGGGTTCGTTTTAGAGAGGTGTCCGCATAAAAGAGGTCACTTTGATGACGTCACTTTTATGACTCCAATTACAGTTTCATGCGTTCAGTAACTAAAACCAGGCTAACACTCGTCTTTAAACTGCATTTAAATTCACAGTACAAAGACACTGTCTTTCAGTAGCATACAACATTGCACATCTCAGCTACAAAGTATGACAGTCGTAGACAAATCTCTGTTTTAAAACGAAACGAGCTACAGCACAATGCTGTAAGTAAAAAGTTGTAACGTAAAGCACAATTCTGAAAGCGTCTTTTGCTATTTTGCAAGTGCAGTAAACAGTAACTAGCGTACAAAATGTAATAGAAAAGATCTTTAAACTATCTGTAGTTACTGAAGCCTTCAAAAAGTCGCTTATGTTCCTCTGTACACCTTTCACAAATTGTTGTTTGGTATACAGCGACTGGGCTTTATATCACCTTGCATAGCTCATCAGCCAGACTGTGTCGTTATTAGAGAGGTGTCCGTACCGAGAGGCTCGACTGTATGGACAATTTCCCGTATAATATCACTTTATAAGCCCAGACCATAGGAGGAGCAGTGAGAATAAGAACTAAAATAACTGTACCGTAATTTGGAAAGGAACTGATGTCGTTTCCTGGCGTGAAGGCGACTTGTATAAGTTTGCAAATCTGTTGGGAAGAGAACAACCATCACTAAATGAGAGAATGAAAAATGACCGAGGATCAAAAGTCCTCACGAGCTGTAGATCGTCAACTCTCGTTTAGCGAGGTCCGTAACAAGACACAGTTGAGTCTGGCGTGATTGATAGGACTACACACTGCACACTGACATGCCAGGAAAGCACGTTTAGAGATGTCAGCACGCTTATAGTCATCCATAGGGAACTTAAGATAGAGACGTTTTCGGGGCGACGGCAACTTCAACCGGACGTGACATCATCATTTGTTGGATATTGCGCACGCTCGTGCTCACCACCTTGCCGTCGTGGTCCCGTCGGCGACGTGAAACTGGTCTGTTTGGCGTTGTGGCGAAAACGTGAGTATTTAACTTTCATTTCAATCAGGTTTGTTGCGTTTAGCAACCAACATTTTGCAGATTATCGTTCTTAAATTGTCCTTGTTTTCTTTGAGGCACATTTCAAGCTCGATTTCCAAGCTCTGTTATCTAAACTTACATCTTTGAATGTTTCTATGTTTTCATGTCACAGGGTCAAGATCCAACTTGGCAAACAGCCAACCGTAAGTGAGCTGGACATGGGACAGAATTTTCCCACGAGCCAAATAAAAGTATCCAGACAAAAAATATGAACTCCGATATTTCAATTGTGTGTTTTAGTTCGCTCTTTTCGTTAGAATATCGTATAAATGAAACGCATTGAAAATTATATAGAATAGTAGGTAATACCATGTACTAACTCGGCGTGGGAATACTGAAATAAAGTTGTTGCCGTTGTTGTTGTTGTTGCATGCAAGTATTTCCCGGGAATTATTTCAATACCAAACTAAGAATACGGTTCCTTGGTAGCATTTTAATGTTCCTGTAATTTGCAAGGCTTCGGCAAGCCTGTGGAGATCATTTTTTTTCAACACGAAATTCTGCCTTGAACTCAGCTGCATCCCGCATGTTTTTTAGCGTGAACGGATCGTAACTGTCCAGAGGAAAATCGGGATTTTTGGACTCATAATTTTCCCACAAAACGAGAAACTCTTCATCCGATACATGTTTTCTGCATAGCAAATATTTATTCTCTTACTTCTTTATGTGAAGCCATATTTTCCTCTTCGGTATTCTTCTAATTAAAGGCGCCGTCCTTCTGAGTTCACTGCGATCTTAATGTTCTATTTCTGACCGCGAGCGACGGCTGCCTTAGTTCCAGGCTTTCTCTGCCAGTCCGGTCGCCGTCGCCCCGAAAACGTCTCCATCTCAAGTTCCCTCATATCAGTGTAAGACGGTTATGCTACCCATTTCAATATGAAGGTGACTTTAGGATATGTGGATATATACACCTTATTCGATGGTTTAGCATATAATACGTGCGGATATTTTGCGAGTTGCGTAGTATTTTCCGAGCCCCGCAGGGGCGAGGAAAAATACGAGCAATGAGCAAAATGTCCGCTCGTATTATATGCTAAACCATCGAATAAGAGGTTTATTATTCCACTACAAAAAAAAATTATCTGGCAATTGGCTTCTATTTTTTGGCAAGAGTATTCAGAGACATCCTGATTCTGTCTGTGAGAATGACGTTAACAATTAGCAAAATGTTCGCGCGTATTATATGCCAAACCATTGAATGAGAGGTTAATTATTTTACTGCAAAAGAAAAATGGTATTTTGGCTTCTATTTTCTAAAGAGGGTATCCAAAACATCCTGACTCTGTCAGCCACAGTTGCTCCTTTTGCATCCGCCGGTATTCGCCCTGTTGTAAACCGGTTAAACCAGGACACTACGGTGTATTACTGCCTCGTATTTTGCTTGTTCTCTTGACCTTATATGGTAAAATTACTTAATAGTGGAATAACAAACATCTGTATCGACCCCTTTCAAGTTTCACAGCTTGTGGTCAGTAAAGCAAAAAGACTCTGAACTCGGAAAAAACGAACCAAACGAAATTGACCTAAAACAATAACAGTAGCTCTGGCCATGATTCTCAGCTTGATACTGAGATGTAACAATTCGCGATCGTTTGACAGCAACGTCCTATTAACCACTTCTGATAGATCTCTCTATTTCGTTCATTTTTAACAGACTAAAAGTCCGTCATACCTCTGATTGTCTTCCCAGTACAAAACAATTCGAATGGTGCTAGCATGACCCCAGCTTTCACCTGTGGAGAGAAAAGAAAATCAATATCATAATTTTAAAACAGAAATCAACGATATAGAAGAAACTTGACGTTTTGAAGGTTTTTGTCATCATTACAAAAAGATAAGAATTATTAACAAGATTCTTTGAAATATTTCAGTATAGAAAAAGAAAGTGCGAAAAGTGCATGGAAAAAAGGACAAAGGGTCATGGGTTGGGCATAATTATAACAATCAAATAAAGATTTTCGCACGAATGGAGTCCGCTTGAGTGTTAAGCGAGGCTCTTATATGTCGGATGATTAACATCTCGAAAATCAAACACTCTAGTTTCGTTCGGCGTTTCTTGAGGATTTTGCCAACTACCGAATGTTTCTCTTCCTTACACGTTGATGAAGTTGGTGGCACGTGTATCCTTTCCGTGTGACCTTTCGAGACAAGCGAGTCTCGATGGGTTCCAACTGAATGAGGCCAAGTGCAAAGTACTTCGAATTGGATTCTCCAACAGCAACCACGATTTTGAACCCCTAGTCCTAAATGGCAAACCCCTTCACCGGTGCCAAATTGCTAGGCGTGACCATTAGCCACGGTTTAAAGTGGAACATGCACTCCTCTGAACTTATTAGAAAATGTTCCTCTCGTCTTTTTTTTTTTACGTCAACTCAAGAGATCCGGAGTGGCACCAAGTGAACTGGTGCAATTCTATGTGACATGTATTAGGCCCGTCCTGGAATACGCAAGTCCTGTATTCCATCGTTCTCTACCAAACTACATCAGTGAAGATTTGGAACGGATCCAAAGAAGGGCTTTCAGAATCATCTATCCTGACCTGTCATATAGTGTAGTACTGGAAACAGTTGGCCTACCGAAACTTCATGAGAGGAGAGAAAAGATTTCAATCGATCTGTTTGACGAGATCGTCTGTAACCCCACCCACAGTCTCCATAGCCTCCTCCCCCAAAGGAAGAGTTGTAAATATGCACTGAGACGCAAAAGTGATTTCACTCTCCCCCTACGTAAAACCGAGCGTTTGAAGAAAAGTTTTATTTTTAGCGATGTCTATAAGATGTAGATAATTTTCTTATTTTCTCTTTGTTATAATCAGTATTTGTAAATATCCCGTAATTCAGCCTATGGCTGAAATGGTCTTTATAATAGGCTATCTATCAATTAATTTTGCATCACACAACTAACATTGAAATTCATATACACTGACATTCTAGCTGTTGAATGTTGTATACTTTTCTGCACATGGAACTGGCAGGCAGAATATCAATGTTCAATTGAACAAAAAAAAGAGAGAGAGCCGACATGAAAATGATGGGTCGCCATACTCGTTTCAGAGAAAATGAAGATTTACCTTTCTGGTTAGCTTCCGCCTTGAGGCAAAAGCCGCCATACTATAACGTAGGATGCGCAATGCAATACTGAGGAATAACAATAAGCTCACCTAGCGCTGGTACAAGGTGCGACTGACTAAGCTGCGTGGATTTCACGCGTGTGGTCATCTGGTTCATAAAAACCACCTGAAGGAAGCAAAATCAGTTTGATTTACTTAGCTGTTATTAGGGTGGATTGACAAACTGTCGTGTTTTTCAATTGCTGCGCTCACAGTGCACAGGGCTAGGTGTGCATCGGGAACGAAGCTAAAACGTCCGTAAAAGGTACCATTTTAGCACTCACTTAGACGACATACATGGACAAACGACTAATTTTTGCAGTCCATTATCATATCTTCATCACCTCTCAGCGTCAACACTGTCACCATCATCATCATCATCATTACCACCATCATAATCATCATCACCATCGCCATCATCATCACCATCGCCATCATCATCATTACCGTCTCAATCATAAACGTCACCGTTATCACCATAAAAACGGTTAGACTTTTGAACTACATAAGTTATTACTTGTTTAAACAGAAATAGTTATTCACTTCATGGATTTCTTTACTTACAGCTAGATGATTTTCACAAGCCATCTTGATAAAACTCTGTGCCAAACCATTTAGAAGCCTCGTCCTTAACGCGAGATCATCAAAATCATGGCGGAACTGGAAGGCAATACTGTCTACTACTATGAGTTTCACCTGTAATTTGTACGGGAAAATAAACAGCTACAACATAAAAATCCCTGGTGCAACGGCCACCTCTCCACAAAGGCCACTTTCTTTTGTCCCCAAGGTGGCCGTTACTGTATTTTTATATCAAATATTTTGCACCTGCACTTGTTTCGAAAAGGAGGCTGACAGCACTACAACATGGAAATGGCTTGCCTTTGGTCCCTACAATTTCACCAATATTTAATAAATTGAGTGGTTGGAATCATAACAAAAATTATTAATCACGTTTTCACTGCTGTCGTTGCCTTGGTGCATTGATGCACGGGGGGAGCTACTCAACAAAGTTTTATATGGGGAGGCTTTGCCCGACGCTTTCACTCTTTATACTATTTTTCACAGAAAACGTGTTCTTTTCGTGTACCTTTTATTCAAAAATGGTATCCCTTTAAATCACTAATATTATAAAAACAGGACCTTTTCTGCAATTTTCATGTAACATTCATAATTAAAATAATATACCGGTAGCCACCCTTTCATATCCTTCTTCTTGTGAATTCCCTATCCTTTGATACACTCAAAGGTAGAAAAAGGTACTACTTTTGGACAGAGCCTGCCTGTATAGGCCATGATCGGGAGTGCCCCCACTGTAGTTTGGGAGTTGACAAGGTTTATCCACTATGACTGACTATTAAACATACCTTGGAGTGGTCTGCCAAGAACTCTGGTAAAACATGTGACAGTGCTATTAACTGCATGTAGTCATGGCATCTAAACACATAAATCTTGGACAAGATGTTTTCAACTTGGAACGTTTTCATAGCTTCGGTTTGTAGAGATCTCTCTGTCCAAGACAAATGAAAGAAAAAACGGAAAATAAAAAAAGAAACATTAAAGAAATGAAAATCCAAGCAAACCTGTGTGGTTTTATTATTGTTATTTAAGTCAGGGTTAACCCTTTAAGTCACATGAGTGATAAGCATCAAATTTCTCCTTGTAATATCAATGCTTTGTAAAACAGAGTGGTAATGAGAATTACACACAAGATCAAAAAAGATGAATTTGCTTGATATTTTATCATCTTCTCCCCACTACTTCTGTAGGAAATGAGGCAACAAATGAGAATTCAAATTTTGACCTTAGGGTTTAAAGGGTTAAGGAGGCTACCGTTTTCAAATGAGATGGCATAGTTTTGTTTCTTTACCACTTTAGAAATGAGCAGGAAACTGCACCAAGTTAATTTTCCCAAAGACTTCTGGGATTGCTTACAGGGACGCATCGGTCAGCTATCGACCAATTGTTTTCCTGTCCCCAGTAACAATCCCAGAAGTCTTTGCAAAAGTTAACTCTGTCCAGTTTCTTTTCATTTCTTAAGTGGCAAATTAGTAAACTACAAATTGGAAAGAATGAAGATTAAAAAGCTGTTTATAGATTTATTTGATATATTATTCAGGTGACAAATTGTTGAAAAGTAACAGACGGACACACATCTAAACCAAATATTCTTCAAAAGAATATTGATGTTTGTTAGTAAGAAATTTTTTTGCCTCTAGAGTTCAAATGAAAACATCCTTAAGGCTATTTAACCTGAAACCCTTGCATACAGTCTGTACACCAGCTTTGTCATTAGTGTTTTTAATTCCTCATCTAATTTATAAGCTTATTCTTAGAACAGAAAAATCAAATCAAAATCAGCTGATTGTACCTGTTTCATCCATATCAGCAGATTGAACTATGTGCTGCATGTGTTTGACTGCTGCATCTGCTATGTCTAAAACTCTCTCAACAATAAAGCTCCCCTCAGTGTCTGCGGTGAAATCCACACAATAACAGTCACATACATGGTCATGTACATACACCTGTATGTGTGTACTGTATGTTCTGTATTTTGCATACACTAATGATCCTAATTTTATACAAGGCATATACAAGGCAGTCCTTTAAATTCAGTATTGAATCTTGGGCTTTACATGGTAAATAAAATAAATAAATATATATATAAACAGACCTGCAAATGACAATGGATCACCAGACAACATCCAATTTTACGAAAAATTTACCCACTGTCTATTTGCCGTCGGACTGGACATCAGATGAAATTAATGAGAAAGCATATCATTTTGGAGCTAAGGTTTTTCATCCCTAATATTACTAACTTAAGAAGACGTCAGCAAGATCTGCTTGCCCACATTCTGATTGGTCCAAATGGATTAGTCACCTGATTATTTTTAGCCTTGAATTAGTTTCTTTATCTCATCTTTACTTAATAAAGAGAGTGTTTGCAAAATACTTCAGGAACTGAATTTTTTATTAAGTTACGAACTCATGCTACAATTGATTAGATCCAGGAAAACATTCTGTTATTGGAACCAGTTAACACAAATACATCATTGTAACAGTAACTTACTGTAATATGATAATAATATTAAAGCAATCAAATAGACCAAATGTTCTACAGGTCTAATGGCATGATAAATGCCAAAACTAAATATAACACACTTTGACACACTATGGAAGTTGTGAGACAAGCCCAGGGAATAATACCTTGGTAAGCCAATAGAACATTTGGTTTACTGCTTAGTATTTATAAATACATGTACCAATATAAATTGCCTCTCCATTAAGTCCTCCAAACTCATCTGGTATTTGTACATCCACTGCAAGCTGCATTCTTCAATAAAAAAGAAAAATTCCCTTCAACCATGGCTTAATTATCTCTTTTCTAATTGTAGTCGAACCTCCACCAATGGGCACCTCTCTACAACGGCCATTTGTTTTTGGCAGACAGTCCATACATTCACTCTTGTTTCAACCTGTCTCCAATGGCCACTTTCTTCTGTCCCCAAGGTGCACGTTGTAGAGAGGTTCAACCGTAAAGCTTGAGACCAACCAGTACCAAGGCCATTGAAGACTTTCCTGCTGAAATTCATCAATGATTTGGACTAGAGGTATCAAACTTGGAAATCTTTACTTTGCTTTGTACAAAAGAATAAAAACAACCATAAAATTTAAAATCACAAACATCTAAACAAATTTAGAAACTGCTCTATAAACTCAAAAACGATGCCAATAACTGCTGACCTTATGAGGTACTGTAATGAAACTATAATATTGAGCATACATTATCAACCACGTGTGAGGTCAAGATGGCTGGATATTGGCTATACATACAGGTAGCCTGAGTATCAGGCATTTCTTGGGGGTGGGGGGAAAGGGGGAAGATAGAAGTGAAAAAGGGAGAGAGTGAAAGGAGAGAAACCTTCCCCCTCTCCCCTCCCCCACCTAAAATCTCCTCTCCCCTAGCCTAGCCCCTTTTATTTAATAGGAAGGCCTGATAATTATTCAGGCAAGACTATACATTGCAGTTTGTGCTTTGCATTTTTATGGGCTGAGATAAAGTTTAGGTTAATAAAACAGGAAAATTAAGACAGTCCAATATCCAGCCAGCATCCTGACTAAACAAAAGAACTATTTTGGGGGGGGAATAAAGTGGGAAATCTTCTGAGAGAAAGATACAGGCCCATACGTAGGCCCATATTGTAGATGAACAATGAGTATGTCAAACTAAGTCAACAAGGGAGCAATTTTGCATCTTTAAAACAAATTATGCATAGTAAATGTAGGATTTGCAGGAAGACTGATTACAGTCAACTCAAATAGTCAATACCAAAACGTTATTTCAGTAGGAAGTATGACAATAATTCTCCTTTGCTCAAGGCAGATTTCATTCTTCAAAGTGAAATTCTTCGGTATTATATATCATACATGCATAACTTTGTGAAGATATCATGTCCGTTATTAACAGGGGGCCAGTGATAGTTGACTGTTGTCTAAAGACTGACTGTTATTTGCAGCTCTTTTTAGACCAACTTGACAATACAAAAAAAATTCTTAGGACCGGTTCAGACTGTCAGATCCCAGAGAGGACACAGTCTGAGTTCTCAAGGGAAGAACAATTTTGTCTCAAAAATTCCAACAAAATTAAATTTACGGTAATTAGCCACTTTAGAAACGAGAAAGAAACAGTGAGCCAAGTTAACTTCTGGGACTGATACTACAGGATTGGCAAATAGCTGACGGGTGCGTCCCCAGTGTCAATCCCAGAAACAATATTGTGGGACACATTTCTGCTCCAGTTCCTGTCTTGTTTGTACAATGGCAAATTGTCAACAAAGCATTTTCTTGTTAAAACATACCCTATCTGTGTTTTCCCTACTCCAGGGGCCCCACAGAATTCTGTGATTTTTCCCACTGGAACCCCGCCACCTAACATGTCATCAAGCTGCTCACAGAAAGTAACAATGCTTCCTGATGATTGTTCTTGTTGTAGAAGGTCATAGGCATTTTTGCTTCCCAATATGACATTTGACACAGTTTTCCCAGTGGTCCGACCTGACTTTGAAGTTGCCAACTGTGCTGACTCAGTTGAACTCCTTATTGTTTGGATGATCTTTAGGCCTTCCTCTTTGTCTATTCCTAGGTCTGTTGGCAAAGATGAGCAAGCTGTAAAATACTTCATTTGTACATTATTAAGTCTTGTTTTTCTACTGACTTTGTGTGTGTCAGTTTTCTTTGTACCACATTAATCTTTTGTTTTCTGTTGTTTTTTTATGCTAATGGCTCCTCATAAGGCAAAAGTCTTGCTATCTTACCACTTATTTCGGTAGGTTAGTTTGTCTTTACCACATTTGTCTCTTTATTTTAGGCAAGTTATTTCATTCCTACATTTAGCCTTTTCCGGTATCCAGGATAGTAGGGAAAGAGGTTCAAGAAAAGTTACATGAAAATCATGTAGGTGCAGGGAAGAGTCGGAGACATGGACTTTTCCCTTACCTGTCTTTTGTCTGTTCCCCCGTTGTTTTTTTTTTTGCATGTCTACACTGACAAAGAGCACAGCAAGGGCTATTGTACTTTGTAATCCTAAAGCTCTTTCTTTATAACATATGACTAGCCAAAAATGGGTCATATTTGAGCAAAACAGACCCCTAGCTTGTACGTTTTTTCTTTCCAAAGGAGGTCACGTGATAATACTGTAGAACTGTTTCATTCAAATGTTATCTTATTCCTGTGCATATGTACACATAATTTAAGAGAAGACAAAGGATGAATTTCCCCTCGAACTGTTATTGGGAAAACAAAACATACAAGCCAAAGAGGTCTATTAAGTTTGACCTGACAACAAAACCAGCATCTGCCAGTTATTTACTTTAAGCCTTGGAAAGAGCTTGCTTTATTATATAAACACCAATGAAATACCAGGTGAGCTTTCGCGCGAAAACATGATATCTTCACACGTGAAAATAACATGTCATTTTCACATGTGAAAATATCACCATTGCTATGGCTACATAATAAATCGCACCTTTCGCAGGAAAAAACTGTTGTAGTGAAATGGCTTGGTATTTCATTGGTGTTTATAATTATAATAAATAGAACATTGCATGGCTGCTTGGAGATACGAAATTTCTCTTCTCATGTTGAAAACATTTCACTCTTTCGCTGCGCTCACTTGATATTTTTCAACACTCGAAGAGAAATTTCGTATCTCTGCGCAGCCATGTAATATCCTCTATATATTTTGCTCTCTGTGCTGTCTCGACACTGTGGCAAAAAGAAAGAAAATGTGAACCAAGAGTTTCTGCTACACATCATATCCAAGTTTGGGGTACAACTTAAAAGTGGCCAGGAATTCTGCTAGTTATCCCCAAACTACATCAGTGATAGAAGTAATTTGCTATTAGTATATGGAATTAATTTTGTGTAGAAATGATTTTAAGAACAACCTACATTATAGTCTGAATTTCAAATCATTTGTTTTGCAATCTGAATAGTAGGCCATGCCCCTGTCAGTATCTAACCCATCATTATGTTGCCTATCACCATTTCATCTGGTCTTATGTCTCTGTTTCAAGGCTATGAATGTCAGTTGTCGAAATTTTACCCTAACAAGGCCTCAATATAGACCAGATCCCACTTGTTTCAAAAGATGAATAGTGTTATCCACTAGATGAATCACTTTCCAGTGGATAAGTGTTAGGGAGAGCAACTGCATTAGCTGTGGTCACACTACAGACTTTTACCTAGGTAAAACCAATTTACCTAGGGCAAATTCATCAAAAATCTGCCTAGGTAAATTCATCTCGGGTTTTGTTTTACCTAGGTAAAAATTCTGGGAAGGTCACACTACTGATATCGGCTCCCAAAGTTTTCAGGCCAGTTGAATTTTTTGGAGTGTAAATTCAAGAAGGCAAAATGTGCAGGGATCTAGTTGATCAAAGAGACGTTTTTTTCTTTTATCGCGCTGTTATTTCTTATGCTAATTCAATGTGCAAGGTGAAGAAAGGCGAAGACGTAGACGACTCGTGCTCCCAAAATTTCTTTCATGGCATGATCTAAGTCCAGTTCTGTCATCAAGACCTTCGCCGATGAGCGTCTATTGGCTAGCAACCTCGGTATTTCATTTTTCCCTAGCTATTGCTTTGGGGTAGCTGTCAAGGTAAACTCTATTGTTTTAGAGACATATCCAAGACCCAGACGCTAAAATTTCCCCGAGGTAAGTTACCTAGGGAAAAATCGGTAACACTTAAAAAATCAAGTTTCCCAAGGTAAACTGTCAACAAGTCGTGTTTACCTAGGTAAAAAGTCTGGAGTGTGACCACAGCTATTATTCAGTGGAAACAAATTTATTTAGTTGATAGCAACATAACACTTTTCAAACAACCGGGACTAGCCTGAGACAGTTCAGACAGCAGTCTTTCATATTCAGTCTGCAAAAGTTCCTCATAATCTTTTAAATGTTATTTATAATCTAAAATTGTTAAAAATGGGCAAAAAAGACACAACAAACTACAGTTAGATTAACTGTTTGAGATAAGCTTATTAACTCAGGATAATGCAGTCAACTTGCCTTCGCTCAATTCAGTGGGAGTGACATCTTTAACGTCATCAGCGGTCATATACCCCGCAGCGGACAATTTGCGCAGATAATTTGGAGCCAAAGGGAATGTAGACAGCTCTCGCTGCATCTGAAAGACACTATCCACCGTTCTATCTCGTAAATTTCTGCAATTTCACCTTATAAAGAACAGAAAGAACCAAAACGTAGTACTTGAAGTTGCCGCGTGATTGCAGCTAGTCGTGCAGTCGAAAGACTGGGTCGAGTTGGAACTCCACTGACATAGACGCGTAATCGCAGGCTCAACAGTAAACAAAGAACTTCGACGGTTAGACGTTTGAGAACATGGCGCAAGGACAGGGCAAGAAAAAGAAGGCATCAGCCGCTAAGAAGACTCAGAAAAAGGCTCTAGGGCCTAAAAAAGGAGGTAAATATTCAGTGAATTTTTGCTCTACGAAACTTTAACTATTTAATGGCTGGCTAACCTTGATGTTGTGACGGAAGTAACGCGTGTTTATAGAGCGTACGAATTTTGCCGCCCTTTCAACATTTTATCGATTTTGCGCCTTATGTAAAGGGCTTTATTTGCAGTCTGCAGTGATTTCTACATTAAATTACAATATAACTTTGTGAATATGTATTAAAGTGATGCTTTCAATTTAAATAAATACTTCTGGTGTGCAAACCGCTTATATTTTTTGTTTGCAAACAAACCACTTGTCAGACCAGCTCATATATCGATAAAAATTTGTCTTATTTTTTTGTATTTCAGCAAGAGCTATTGCTCCCAAGAAAACTAAGAGCGTCAAAGCAGCAAAAGTGAAAAAGGTGAGATACCAGCTGACAATAAACTGCAAGCACGGATTGAATACATACAAAAATTGATCCATTCTGAGTTTTATCTTGAACAACCGCAGAGTCCTTCATTTTAGGGTGCCTGTGAATTACATGTAAGATTACATACGACGCTCATAAATTCTACACAATGCGGCTGTAAACAAAACTTTATGATTTCATAATAATTCCAAAAAGAAATCAAAGATTTAGTTTTATTTATTGTCAAAAGCTTGTAATTAATAAAGTGCCCAAATGCTGCGTGCTTTTTAAAATTGTTCTGAGATAAAATATGCAACGCCCTGCTAAATTTTTAAAAGCTTAAATGATTTCAATGTTAGGACCACTTTTCAAGGTATTACAATCTATAGTAATGGATAACAAGCAATAGTCTTGAAGATTATATGGTTCAGGTATTCTGGACATGACAATGTTATTTAACAAACAACACCGATGAGACCGGCTTCAGCTTAATGCATTTTACTGTTGACTTCAGCTACTACTCTAGGCATAGTCTTGATAGTGTTCCTTTTTTTGTTTCTTGGGTTTTTGATATATCTTTAGATGTCCATTTAATCCTGCACCATCGACTGCACATTTCTTCCCTTGCAACCTAGCTCTCATTGGAATCCATTTCAATATGGCATATACAGGGGCATTAAAGTCCTTCATATTGCTGTGATCTTTTGGCATAAGGGGTCGTACTTAGTGCGGCAAAAGCTGTTATTCCCTACTCCAGAAACTATAAAGGGCATGAGTACATTACAAGCTTTAGGCATAACAATTTCTGGGATTGTTTGGGTGGATAAGCATCACTTGATTGGTTAATGGTTGCCTGGAATACCATCGGCCAATCATAACTAGCGTTTGTCCACTCAAACTATCCCCGAAATCGTTGCGCCAAGAGCTTTGTTCCCATTCCCCTCATAGTTTCTGGAGTGGGAAATTTCAGTGTGTACCTACAAATCTTTTCAGTATGGTATTTTATCAATAGTAATAAGAAATGCATAATATCACGACTAATACCGTACAGACAACAGTGTGTTAAGGTTGACCTAGCTTCTACCGATCGAGTGACTAAAATCTTTTCCTATAACAATTGATAACTAATCAATCATTAATTTAATCATTTTAGCTGATACATAGTCAAAAGATAATAGATAATCTGCAGGTCCAAACTGCCCCAGAGTAATGCGCAATCCATCTACAGATAAGCAAGCCATTATCATGCCCTGGTTGTTCAAAAGTTGGATGGCGCTAACCTCAGGGTGACTGATCAAAATGTATTAAGTAGCAATTGGTTTTCCTAATACTTAAGGTGGCTCCGTAATTAATACGAGAACATTTAGCAAGGACAAATTTTCCGTCATAACTTTTTGCGATTTTAACGTGATGGCTGCGAAACTTTGCAAAGAACAACAGATATCATTCGCCAATAATACGGAATATTCTGATTTCATTGATGGTAAATATTTCTTGAGAAATTAGCCCTTAAATGGACCCTAGTGCTCAAAGAAAATCGCGTCTAGTAAAAAATTTTGCTGATATTTTTTACTGAAATTTCTGGTATCGGCTTTAATTGATATAATAAATATGCCAGAGGAATTTCAGAAAAATCGTTGGAGGAGAAGTCCGTAACTAAAAGTCGCTCAAAATTCAGCTGTGAAATTGTTTTGGAATTTCAAAAATAAATTACTATCAGGTAGAAGGAGACACCAGTTTGAATTTTCGGGACAAGTAAATTCAGTGTTTGCTAATTCTGAAAACAAAAGCCGATTGCCTATCGTGCTATTCTTTAATAGGTACTTTTCAGTTTTAGAAGTACTATAAATTGCTCCAAACCTTGCTCTGACGTCGAATGACTTGTTTTTCGACATTTTTAAAATATCCCGTGGCAGTTTTGGTTCAAACTCCTGCTACATACATTTTGATTTATTGCAATGCATCCTCAATGGCTTTTCCTGCTGTACGTTGTTTCCAATTCAGGAAAAAGGTATTGGGATTGTAAGCTACCTTGTATTGAAGCTCAGAGAGAACTGTCCAGCACCTTTGTTTATGACCAGAAAATGAGCACGAGCGGCAGCTCTGCGAGGAATTCGCACCTCAGCCACGGGGGGACGAATGACAATGATGCCCATGTCTCTGAACCGATCTGTATAAACATGTATTGCAGAGCAAAACATAATAATCAAGAAAAAAATATCCATTCATTGAAGGAAGAAGTGACAAAAATTTCAGAGTTGTAAATTTATTCACGGGCACTATTTTTGCGATAATTTTATTTTGCACTGTGATGTTTTTCGGTTCACAGGCATGGTTATCATTGTCGTTCGTCCCCCCTGGGTGAGGTGCGAATTCCTCTCAGAACTGCCGCGCGTGCTCATTTTGTAGTCATAAACGAAGGTGCTGGACAGTTCTATCTTAGCTCTGATACAAGGTGGCATCCAATCTCAATACTTTTTTCCTGAGTTGGAAGCAACGAACAGCGGTAAAAGTCGTTGAAAATGCATTGCAATGCATCAAAATGTATGCAACAGGAGTTTGAGCCAAAACTGCAAAGGGATATTTTAAAAAAGGCGAAGAACACTTGTTATTCTACTTCAGAGCAAGGATTTGGAGCAATTTATGGTGCTTCTAAAACTAAAAAGTACCTTTTTAAGAATAGCACGATAGGCAATCGACTTTTGTTTTAAGAATTAGCAAACGTTGAATTTACTTGTCCCGAAAATTCAAACTGGTGGTTCCTTCTATCTGATAGTAATTTATTTTTGAAATTCCAAGACAATTTCACAGCTGAATTATGAGCGACTTTTAGTTACGGACTTCTGCTCCAACGATCTTTCTGAAATTCCTCTCACATATTTATTATATCAATTAAAGCCGATACCAGAAATTTCAGTAAAAAATATCAGCAAATTTTTTTACTAGACACGATTTCCTTCGAACAGTAGGGTCCTTTTAAGTGCTAATTTCTCAAGAAATGTTTACCATCAATGAAATTGGTATATTTCTTATTATTGCCGAATGATATATGTTGTTCTTTGCAAAGTTTCGCAGCCATCGCGTTAAGAACCAAAAAGTTGTGACGGAAAATTTGTCACAGCAAAATGCTCTAGTGTTAATTACGGAGCCACCTTAATATCCAGTGGATAGTGATTTATGACTGTGGTGAATTGTGTTATCCAATGTTTTATCAACCAGCCCCTTGTGTAATCACTGAGCTAAGGCACTGTTCAGACATCAAAGTCAGTGCATGAAGTTCTCACTACAAAACACAAATAAAAAACCCACAATTTTGAGCATAATTTATCACCTAGTATGTTATTAATAGGTTATCAAATACATTGTAGTATACTCATGATATTAGGGAATAATTTCACTTGCATTTTGTCAAAACTCAGACTTATACTTTCCAAAACCATGCAACCATGAGAGGAAAAAATCACTACAGTCAACTCCCGCCTTGCGGACACCCCGCTATAACGGACACCCCGATAATACGGACAGCAGATAAATTCGGGGCAAAAATAAATTACAGACATTTGACTGAAATAAACTCCCGCTATTACGGACTCTCGCTACAGAGGACACTAACTTAAGGTCCCAACAGTGTCCGCTATAAAGGGAGTTGACTGTATTCGGACAGGCCTTTGTCCCTTCAACTTCAGTTAAATATTTCATAATTATTTTGATCTATTTTTGACAAGGGACTGGAAGTAACTATTAAAGCCAAGATAGAGCAAGAGCTTACTCAGGTAGCAGTTGGCAAACAGTCCAAACCACTAAAAGTAGTGAAGCCTGCAGCTGTGGGAGGTAAAACCAAGCCACCGAAGAAGAAGGGAGGTGGCAAAAAGAAGAAATAACTTCATCATTTGAAGCTGTGGCAATGCAACAAGTATGGAGCAAGATGCATATTAGCATGATTTGTGTATTTATCAAAATTTATATATCTATCTATTCCTTAGCAGCAGATGTTATTGTAGAATAGTATTGAACAACTTTTGTAACCAATTTTAACCTTTTGCATGTTCCTCATAATATTACCTCATGAGGTAATGACAGTGGGACTGAGGAATTCTTTACTACGTTTTAACACTTGGAGAACATATTTAATCACCCTGGCTTTATTTTTAAACTTGTTCTTATGGTCCATTCTCTTCCTCAGTAGTCTTTGTAACACTACTAAAAGTACAGGCCCCAGTTGTTCAAAAGGTGGATAACTCTATCCACTGGATAAATCACTATCCACTGGATAGCGCAATTGGTCTCCCTAACACTTATTCATGGGATAGTGATTTATTCGGTGGATAGCGCTATCCAACTTTTGAACAACTGAGGCCTGATGTATAACTTTTCAGGTATAATCCTTGTGGCCTAATGGGTGGTCATGGAAACTTTCTGGAAAAGTAAATTCCCAGTTTAACTAAAGACCTTGATACAAATGTATTTCTTAACCCTTTAAGTCCCAATATCCACATACAAATTCTCGAAACTGATATCCATACATTTCCTTGAAGAATTAGTTGAGAGAATTTGGTAAAAGATCAAATATTTTTCTCTTTGTGATCATTTTGTTAATTTTCATAGACTTTGCTCATGATAGTCTATGGATATCGCTAGGAGAAAATTGATTTTGAGCACTATTGACCATCATTATTGAGTTCAAAAGATTAAACTAAATCCAAAGCAGTGTGCACCTTCCAAATTACCCGTATATTCAGTAATAAAATGGACTTTGGAACTAAATGATAAGCTTCTCCTTTTTCGATTGTTATTATCATTATTATCTTCATCATCGTCATCAGCATTATTTTCATTATTATTATTAACCCATTTGCAGTCGGGAATTTTGCTGAAACATATCTTTTGATGCTAGCCAAGCCGTTTTCTGTCTAGCCAAAAAGAAGCTCTTCTGCTTAGCCAAAAACACCCAAACATCCCTTTTTAAGTGCGGGACTATCAGGCTGCAGTTCCAGTGTTCCAGATGCTAAATTGTAGCTTTTAAAGTTTGGTAATGCGCAAAAGTTACCGAGCCAATATTTCTTCAATAAGTCAACCGTTTTGATTTCTGATCAAACACTTTTCTTTTTCCCAAACAAAGGAATAAATTTACCTTAAGACTCAAATGTTACCACAACGGGCAAAAAAATCCTTGACAGTCAAATATTTTCCCTCATTAAGCGAATAAGGTCAAGCAACAATTTGATTTCCTGAGTGAAGGTTTGGCATCCGCGGCGAAGTGGTTGTGACTAAACTTTTAGTGTGAAAAGACCTTTCTCTGTTCTGAATTCAGCATTATATTATCGCGGTCTTATTTCCGTAACCTTATTCTTCATTCGAGCTCAGTTTTAGCTCTTTACGTGTAAAATTATCAGTAGCATTTTGCAACGACAGTCCCACGGCCGCACTTTCAAAATGAAATTCGAGCCAAATTTCGGTTCAAAAGAGAAAATAATGCCTCGAAATCTTTCTTAAGCTCGAGAAAGGCTAGAATTTTGTGGATAAAAGTTACATTCCTCTAAAATATTCGTTTTCTTACGGTTTTTTTCAATTTGGGAGTTTTTCACATTTTATTACCAAGACATTGCGCGCGATTATTGTTTAAGAAGGTCTTCCAAATATTTCGGTAAAAATTCAAAACGTTCCGCAGTAGAATCTTCTATTTGAGGTGCGGCTACTCCATGTCCTCAAACTTACGATCGGACCCATCAGGGTAGCTAACAGTTTCAGAGCAGATGAGACAAAAACGCCACCTCAAACTTTTGAGACGATTAAACCTTCCTTGAGACATCCAAACAGATAAATAGTATTTAGGGAACCTCCAAATTTACCAAAGTTGTCAGGGTCGATCCCTCGTTGAGGGCCCCTTTTTTGGTACCATCAGCTGAAGATAACTTCTCTCTCTGAATTTGATGCTGACTTCTGTTACTTTATTGTAAAAAATATGCACAGAAAAATAATCTTAAATGATAAACCAAAGAATCAGGAAGAAGATAACAAAGGAAAAATAAAGGTCGGGAAGGGTAGTAAATTCATATTTCACGCAATTTATTTTATTTTGAAGCCCTTTTATTTATTGAGATAACAAAAAGTCGCTCAAGCGTTGTTGTTATCTTGTAATATGTAATGTAAGCTTCTGAAGCTTGAAACCCTGCACTTTCAAAAGAGATTTAATGCGGAAACCTAGACCCCTGGCTCTAATAATCAAAATTTACTTCAGTTTGCTTACTGATTACCCCCGAAATATTACTCTGTTCATGGTTATCTTTGAAAGTGAAACAAAAACTGTGGCTCTGCTGTTATTAAGCCTGTGGGGGAGGTACTTCTTCCACGTATATCCGGGATACTGAGTTCCAGCCTGTGTAAGCATCAGCAGATCCGTGACCAGCACAATTACCGACCCAGAATCCCACGCGAACAGTACCCTTGTGGATTTTCTCACAGACTCCTTCAATGTGACGCACACGGTGCAAATTCTTTTTCGAACCACTTCCATGTACCATGTAGACTATTCCGTCAATGGCACCTGGTGTTGAACACTCTGCACCGTTGAGCGTGAAATACCATCGTCTGTAGCATCCATGGCAGTTAGCGAGACGAAGATCGCCACTCCAAAAGACACGCAGCCCAGTAGTGTCTGACGCTTTCTTAAAAATGCACTCCTTAAAAATCAACGGAGGGAGAAAGATCAGCGAGGGGGATGAACCGAAATTAAAGATAGAGATAAACAATTACATAATCGTCTAGAAAAACTGATTTAAAAGCTTTGGGTTTCACTCGCGGTAACTGAGGAATTTCTCCGTGGAAACTTGTTAACCATGGATCAATTAAAACCAGTAAACTCATATTTCCATCATGAATGGTGAAGGGGAATTGTTTCAACTCCTCTGAATCCTCGCTGGGCTATATCTGTGATAGTGTTACTGTGCTTTTGTAACTAACTTCACCATCAATACTACAGTCGACCGTTGCGAATCAAGGGAGTAGCGCGACCATTTTGACAAGTAGGCACACGGGTCCATATGGTTTTAGAAACTTTCAACAAAATAACCAGAATAACGTTTTTGCTTTCCTTTAATACATAATTATTTCGACAGTTTATAGGCTTGTTTACAATTATAGAACGTGATATCAAAAAAAGCTTTTAAAACTTACTTCTTTGAGCTGGTACTGGAATGTTTACCAGCACACAAGGCGAGGCGCCTTTTTTGTGCAGAAATTTGGAGTTTAAAAGCATCGGTTGGAAGAATTGCGGTGTGTGCATGTTTGTGTAATTTTTCTGCATGCTTATTTCTTTGCTGACATTTGAGTTTTCCTTATTTCGTTCATGAGCACGGGATAGGAACAAACAATTGCAGTCAGCATTTGTTTATTTTCAGTTTTACTGAATCTTTCTCTTGATGTTTGTCATTGGAAAAAATACTACATCTGTTCGCCAGGAGTAAATTTCCTGGAAAATTTAGCTTTTGAATGGGAAAATTTTCCAGATAAATCTTGAAAGGAATAATAATTTTCTTTAAGGGTTTTCCGTTTCTTGAATACGCAATGTATTGTGAGATCGCTTGAAGGCAAATAAATATGTTTCGAATTTATCACATTCCACTACTCAAAGCGTTGTATTTTTCGTGTAAAAACGATGCTGAATAACAACGAGACAGACAGCAATAAATATGCACAATACAAAGTCAAGTCACGAAGCTACAAATCCTACCAATTTCTCAAGCACGCACGTGTGTATGTATTGCCGGAAAGGACGCCACGACCCTGCGAATTTCACTCAAATTCAGACAAAAAAACTATACGTATATCTTAAACTGATGAATCGGGCTTTTTCCCGGCATTTTGTATCATTCCATGGATAGCTCGCACAAGTTCCGAAACACGCAGTATTTTTTTTCTCAAATAACTCGCCTCGAGTTTTTCTCCTGATAACGCCACTGCAAGTTTTTTGAATAGCTTCAAAATCACTGATATAGATCAACTCACTCTTGCACTAATATTTAGATTTGGGGTTATTTTGGCCTAAAAAAATTGGACGTTTACAAAGTTTAGCCATGTCTTTATCAGATATAAAGACTCTCATTAAACATTTAAAATTTCTTTTCTTTTTTCTTTGTGAAGTATTAATGAGTTTTTAAATCGGTCATAACCAGACTTATTAATTTGCTTGGGATTGATTTATATAATCTAGAACGACCAACTCAGTTGTTACCTTTATCAATCCAGAGTCCCTTCCATCGTTCAGATTCTTAAAAACGCATTGTTTCCAATTTCGACCAAACGATCCTGGATCACCCTTTGGACCCGGAGGACCTTGGCTTCCACGAGCACCTGTATCACCCTTGTTTCCAGGGGAACCAGCTGCACCTGAGGGTCCTTGAGGTCCCTTGGGGCCAGAAGGACCTTGCTTTCCACGAGCACCTGTATCACCCTTGTTTCCAGGGGAACCAGCTGAACCTGCTTCACCTTTGTCCCCACGTGGACCTGCTGGGCCTGCAGGTCCTTTAACTCCTTTGACGCCTGGTGCTCCCGGTCTTCCACGAGCTCCTTCATCACCTTTGTTTCCTCGTGGGCCCATGGGTCCTTCAGGCCCATGATTACCGGGTGATCCCGCGACACCTGCTGGTCCCGCGGGTCCAGGGCTTCCTGGGATGCCTGGAATTCCTGGTGCACAGAAACACCCACCATGACCACAGGAACCATAAGGTGAAGTCTGTTGAGGAATACTCTAAATGAAAAATTTAAAAATTCATTCCTTTATAAATTCATGATCAATTAACCTCAGTCAAGCATTCTTAAATAAAAAATTACCGTTCATTCATTCAGCCTCACTAAGTTCTTTCAGCTTTAATAGTTCAGCTACCATTGACTGACTTTCACTTCTCATATATTACTACTATATATTACAATGTTTGTTTTAAGAAACACACCTTGTCATGTGGTTTGCTGCTGTTGTTTTCATTTGCAGAACACAAGGTAATCAGCAGTAAGAGCAGCACGCATAACACAGTAGCCAGGTTTGCATGATGAGGAAACCTGTGAAAACAGGAGTACGCTCAAAATTATGGCCAAATATTCTTAAAAAGGCATCACTTTCAATGATTTGCTAACATTTTTTTTTAAAAAATGGGGATAACAAGCAACGCGAACTGATGATCTGTGGTGAAGTTATTATTTGTTTTGGAGAGAAAAAAAAAATCAGTTTCATTCATCAATTTCAGGCCGGCTTTTAGCATTACTTGAGAAAATTACCATGTCCCTGCAATTATATGTCGGACTTACACGGACGCTTAAAACTCTTCGACATTTCGTTGAAACGCTCGCTTAAGATTTTAGCGCTTATGATAGAACGTTAGCGACTGCTAGGCAATATTCAAACAAAAAAAACACACACGCACAACAAAACAAGGCTAGTAGCAGTAAGCTTTACATCGAATATTTCGTGAAAAGTAACAGTTCAAATTGAAACCAGACTGAAAAGACCTCCAAGCAATCGTTTAAGTAAACTGAGTATTGTAGTTTGATACGTGTTGGAAACATTGACTCAAGTCCTACCTTGCTTGTATGAACGACTGTAGTGATCGTAAGACGAATGATAAATTTTTTAACATTACCAAGGATTTTATGTCCTATTTTGACCAACTTTACATAAAAACGTGTTTTAGACAAGTTTGAAAGATTGTTAAATGTAAGTTACTAGAAGTATTCCTATAGGTTACATGTAAATCAGCCAGTCTTAATTGACCCGCAACTGAAAGGAGTCATGTACTGCTTTTGTTTTATTTAAGTTGCAAGTTAAAACGAGTTGGAAGGCTCCATGACGTTAAACAATTATTTTGGAAACTGGCCAATGATAAGAACTGTTTTAAACTTCCTTTGAGATACAAGTTGAACCAAGTTTGAAGGGCACTGACTTGTTAATTTAACGAGCTATGGAGACAATCGTTCTCATTAATATCTGTACATGTAATTAATTGAAAATTTTGTATGTGACAAATTTGCCATTCAAAATATTTATCAGTGTAACTAGTACTGTTCTTAAGACTCTTTGGAGACTATTCAGTAAAAACCCGCGACTAAGAAGCTTCATTTTCCTAAGTTAGCCTAAACAGGTTCTTACATAAATGGTAATTAGCGCAAAGTTTAGGCTATTTCGGTTCTTAAATAGGTTCTTGATTGATTTTCTGAATGAAAAAATACATTGTAACTAAGACTATTTTGTTGTATTCGGCTTCTTCCTTACACAAAATCATCGCATACCAATACATTCCAGCTGGATTGCTGAAGCACCTATGTCTCGGCCAAACGGGGATATGAATGTTGACTTTTTTTATTTGCTCATATGTACAAAAATTTTTTAAAACATTTTCAAATTAGAACCTGTTTCAAATTTTAGGCTAAACAGGTTCTTGCGTAGAGGGGCCTAATCGACACAGACAGTGAAATTCTCGAAAGACATCCTGTTTTTTTTTTTTTCTTAATCTTATCTCTGACACTTTTGATTCCTTGAAGTAGCTCCGTCAGTTCTGGAAAATACCCTTTACTGGATTTTTGGTACAAATCCAAAACTACTGCAACGCGCTTTGTTGTTGGACTGACCATCGTATATTAACTGATTAACACAATATCGATAGCTAGCTTTAAAACATTTGAAAAATCCGAAAAATTCTCTGTAAAGTGTGTAAGCACCGTTTAAGTGAAAGAATTTTAACTAATTTCACTCTCGAGAGTGACGCTAATACAGATCGCAAGAGGCTTAATTTTGGGAGGATTAATAAGTTTTCTGAGAAGAACACGTTTCTTAAAATATTCGCTTTTTGACGAGTTTATTTCTAAAACATTTTCTAAAAAACGTCGACGGAGATATTCTTCAAAACTTCACACTGACACGGTTTATTATGAGGCATTCAACTTACCTCTTAGATTTCCAGTTGCATCACCCACAGTGTCTCAGTGGACAAATCAATGGACTGCAGAGAAATAGGAAAATTGTGATTAATACGTAACGTAACTTTTGAAGAATCCATGGTTATTATAAGTAAAAATATACAAACATGCTCTGTTCGGTTTTAAGCCTTAAAATTCTTGTCTTGTCTTTGTTTTTCCGACTATTTTGTGACAGTCATGAATCATTCTATGCTCGTAAAAACAAGTTTAGGGAACATTGTACCTATGTTCCAACGAGCAATGCCATTGGCTGTAGTGTTTCTTTTGTCAGCGATTCATCCAATGAAATGGCATCTTTTACTGTGAGCCACAGCATAGATGTAAGGTAACCATGGATCTATTACCCTGGACTTGGAAAAAAGGAAGAAATTTCCCTGTTTTTGTAATTATTTATTTAGTTTCTTATTTAACATTGATAATGCACTCTCGTTGTCTCTTTACGACCGGAGGAACTGAAATCTATAGGAGATTATTAAAGGAAATATCTTTCTCAATTTTCTTTGGTTTGAGACGCAAATTATTGAGTGAAAACACTTTTCATAACTAAATGTAAACGAAATGAAAGATCCGAAAGTCGTGGAACTTCTAAATCTTATTACACGTTCGCTCTCACTCAAGGTCTGCTTCAAAAGTCACACATAACCCGAAATCTCTCTGTAACAACCCATCTACTGAAGATTTTTCGTGCTCGATGATATATATTTTCTGTCCTATTATTGGACGACTTTTCTTCTAATATTTCTTTAGATTCTGACCCGTTCATTTTTCGTCTTACTTGGCGACGTAACCCTTTCTTGGTTAAGAACGCATAATAATATGTATTGGGATGATGGTTTGAGTAAAACTGAGGAAAAAAGACTACGAACATGTATGAATTTTATGACGCGTGGCTCATTTTGTATCAATCACTTTAATTTCTAGTTCCGATCAGAATACGTCGAGTTTTGAAAACTGAGCTATATTCAATTGTTCTTTTTAACGACACTTTTATTTTCTTCTTGTTTTATCTTTGATTGGACACATGGTCAACTTCAGTCTTGATTTATACGTTTGAAATAGATAACCCATAGAAATTATACATTTTTGTATTCCGAAGTTTAAAATTAAAAATGTAAAATCGAAATGACATTGAAAGGAATCAGAAACTGATGCGAATGTGGTTTCTACACGATTGCATTGAGAAATCTGTAGTAAGAACAGACTACATAACTGACTAGACATTTATAGGCTCCGTCGACGTTTCAACATGCAAAAACTATTGAATACATACCTTCCAGTAATCCGGCATTTATCAAGCGTTCGTCTTCTGGCGGAAAATTCACGGGTCAATCGTGAGCAAAGGGACGGCAATGAATTAACCTACATACAACTTCTGGTTGAGCGAGACGTGGATTTTTCAAGCCATCTCGCTTATTACTGTTCAGAGCAATCAGTGAAGTACAGTAGAATCACGATTTCTCGAACTCTTGGGGTTTTTTTTAAATTCCCGATATTTTGAACCAAACCTAAATTCCCTTCACCAGTCAAACACGGTAGTTTTACCCCGGTTCTTCAAACGTCCCGATATTTCGAAGAAATTTGCTCCTTTTGTAATTAAAGCAATTTTCACTTTGTTTCCTACGCATGCATAATATAATTTTTCTCGTCAGACCATGTTTTACAAAACAGTGATTTCGACTGGGGTAGGGAGGAGAGAGGTGGTAGCGAGAAGCAAAGGTTCGGTAAGGTGCAGGGAGGGTGATGTGGGAATTTAACTGTGTTCGGTTTCTGTTTTATAGTAGCTTTATCATATGGTGAAGACGGCCAGTCCAAGAGCAGTCTGAGTTTTACGAGTAGACCTGACCTGGATTGTACATATAGTATACTTGTTTTACTAATGACGCCAGTGAAATGTGCTCTTCTACGCATTTCTCTTCGGTCACCGCAACTTTGTTTTCTCTTAACGCGAAACTCATTCCAAGTAACCTAAGAACGATATCATTTCAAACAGGACCCAGTCTAAAATTGTCGTCGTTTCTGCCTGTCGCGAGTTGCATGCTTCGGTGGGTTTGTAGTATTAATTCCCAATTTAAACGTGGCGAGTTCTCGATTAAAGCCTTCTAAAAACATTCAAAACGCAATATGGTTTTCACAGTCATGCCCTTTAGTTTTGTAAATTTCATCTTCTAAGATAGCCAGAGATACTAGGAATGACATCATGATACGCGAGTTAGTTAACCGTTCTTCCAAAATTTTCGAATTTTACTAAAAAATTTACTCAAAAAAATTGGATGCGGAAGTCATTGTCATGGTCTGTGTGTTTGAAAATTGAGCGTGTTATTTGTTTACTTTGAAGTACTGATGTAAAATTTGCATTCTTGAAACATACCCTTAGGCAAAACGTTGACTACTAGAAAAAATGAAATAAACTGACTGAAAGTGCTTTAGTGGAAATATTTTTCATGCCACATGGTGTCTGCTTGTATCTTTGATAATAAAAAAAAGCGTGCGTGGACTTCTGTTAGCCGACCAGGGTCTGGCTCAGTGCCCCAAAATATACTGTAGTTTCAATTTGAGAAATTCAATTTTCCAGAATAAAATAGTTTTGTGGCATAATATAGGACCCTCCTCAATTGAACATAAACCGAAACTAATATCCATGCAGTTCCTCCAGAACCATGTAACTGTTAAATGTAATTAAATGTCGTCTAATACAAGCAGGAGTAGCTAGGAGTCTGAAATTCTGTAACGAAGTTAACCTTAGATCTTTAGGCATAGCAGTTAATCAGGTAAAAAAACTGATTTGCCTTAATTTTGGTTCAATTTGTTTTGCCTCGCGATCGTACACTTAGGCAGTTCCTCGGCTTGGAGCGCGTTTCAAATATAGTCAGCTTCTGCCTTACCGGACTCAGTCGCGTTCACTGCCTACTTTACTCACGGGCAAAACGGTTCGCTGATTGTTCTGATACGCTACTTGATTTCAACTTGAGTCGTTTTTCTGCCTTGTCAAACTCAATTTATATACTAAAAATGTATTAAAATATATAGAATGTAAATTTAAAAGTTAAGTGTTCAAACTGTTTATTATTATTTTTATTACTATTGTTATTTCTATGTTTTGTTTTCGATTCGACAACGGCTATACTTTATGCGACGTCTGAAACTGTCGCGCTGCAGTCACCCGAGCGTCGTACTACGGTCGAGCCAGCTTAGCAAGGAGGAAACAAAGGCGTTGGCAAGCTTTCAATTTTTCCAATGAAAACGCAGCCCTTTGAGTCCAATACCTCGTCAGAGAGAGCTCTGGGAACACTAGGAAATGTCTCCAGTCGTCTCTAAGTCTCCTATTAATATTAACGCGAGAAAAGCGCGGTGAAGGAAAGTGCGTGGGATGATGGGAAAGAGGAAAGAGACTTCCTTTCCCCTTCCACCCTCCCATCGTCCCCTTTTCACCAGTGCTGTAATAGTCTTCCGCGACCATTCCTTGACCGCTTACGTACAAAATAACAAGAGACGACTGGGACGAGTCAGTGGTCAAATCAAGCTGGAGCCACACCCAGGCACGGTGTTTTTGATACGAGAATTCCTTCCTCGGGAATTTACCTTTCTGCGTCTACAGCTATCTACTGAGATATTCAGCTCTAGTTTTTTAACTAAAACAAAACAGCTTTCTTCTTTGGAGATTAGTACAGTTACTGTGTATAGCTTGCTCTTTACCTCACAGTATCATCTTGGATCAGTGGAATTAAAACAATTAATAGGTAGACGCTGCTGACTGCTTTTACAGTTGAAATGCTAGAACGCTAGGAACGTAAAAAACGAGCAGGAGTGTTTAAAAACTCGAGGCGAGGCCAAGAATTTTTCAACCTGATAATATATGACTGCCATGTTTATGAACGGCTTCGAAATCTCTGATACAGATCAACTCATTCTTGCACTAATATTTAGATTTGGGGTTATTTTGGGCTAAAAAATTGGACTTAAAGTTGAACCGTGTCTTTATCAGGTATAAAGACACTCAATAAACATTAATTTCTTTTGCTTTTTCTTTATGAATAATTAATGAGTTTTTAAAAATATTTAATAAGGGACTGGAAGTAACTATTAAAGCCAAGATAGAGCAAGAGCTTAGGTAGCAGCTGGCAAACAGTCCAAACCACTAAAAGTAGTGAAGCTTGCAGCAATGAGAGGTAAAAATAAGCCACCCAAGAAGAAGGGAGGTGGCAAAAAGAAGAAATAACTTCATCATTTGAAGCTGTGGCAATGCAACAAGTATGGAGCAAGATGCATATTAGCATGATTTGTGTATTTATCAAAATTAATAGCCCATTTCCGAGTTCCTGCATGATTGGAGACTGGTGCCGAAGTAACGCACGAGAGCGAGGCTTCGTGCGAAGAAATCCAACATGGACGCCACTCTTGACAGCAATGTTGCTTGTGCTGACGAAGATTTTTCGAAATTGAAAGTCCATGATTTAAAAAGATATTTAAAAGAGCGTGGTATCCAGTTAAGCGATGGGGGCAAAGGCAAGAGGAAGGCAGAGCTTGTC